TCCGAGTACAGAACCCTGAGGAACTCCACATGTAATGTTACAGAGTTCAGATCTTACTTCATTTATCTGTACAAACTGTTTCCTATTTTTAGATAACTAGATATCCACTGTAGTGCTGGTCCTCTAATGCCATATTTATGTAGCTTTTCAAGAAGAATGTTGTTATCAGTGGTGTTGAATGCTTTCTTTAAATCAACATAAATATTAGCACAGTATTGTTTTTGATCAACAGCAGTTATTTGTTTTAATAACATATTTATTATTGTAATTTTATTTTTTTAAGATAATATCTAAAATTAACAAATTCCTGAACATATCATATTATAGAGTAAAAGATATAATACATCATGTTTAACTTTGAAAATAATGGAGAAGCAACACAGAAAATACTCAAATTAAAAGTATAAATATGTCCAGTATTACATGGGATGAATGACAATCAGTGTGATTAAAGTGCATTACTTTAAGATTGTCTGTTCACTTAATATGCTTATTTACCTTGAGGGCCCGGCTGCAAGCTGCCTATTTAATGCCTGGAAATGTCGCAGTCCTAATTAAAAGTGCACCTGTGGCGTCCTGCACCCAGGGGGACATGGTCTCAGCMTCCATAGTGTCATTTACTGGAGTAATGCTCGGTTTGTTTGAGTGCTCGTCAACAATGGGATTAATTTGCTCTTACACATGTGATTGTGAGGGGTCTTTCTAAGGAGAGGGGCAGATCAGACTCATGGGGCTAATGGYAGAATGTCTTTAGATGGTTAATGTGGAGATTCCAAGTCTTTAATATTAAGGATTCAGATGTGTTGATTACAGCTTGGAAACAGTTAATGTATTATTTAGATTGATTTATGTGTTTAACTTGAACTTACTTTAGAAAAGAGTAGGAACTAAAATGCAAGACAAATGGAAAACTCAGGATCAAAAAAAGAAGGTGAAATTCAAACTAAACAGCAAAAGATGCAGAATGTTAAAACATATTGAACAGTAAAGTCAGAATAAGTGAATAACAGCCTGTTGAATCAGGAAAGACCAGAAGCTGTTCACAAAACAAGTTAAAGAGGACATACTGTATCCTGCAAATTTAAAAAGAAAAAAATAAGTAGGTCCTCTGGATGGGTTCGTTTCGTCTCTCCTCCAAGAGACTTCTTCAGTCTGAGGAGTTTCAGGTGAACTCAGCCTTATAAGCTCCGCCTCCACATGATGGACAAACAGGTTAGTCACATGCAAAAGAGGACCATCAGCCAAACAATAGGTCGTTAGTGTTTTGATTGGCTCTATTGTTCATAGAGGGTCATGCGTCCCATCACATGGATGGTGGAGTCTTCCCTTGTTGATATCTTTTAATTTATTTGTTATTCCGCTATAGTCTTAAAGGGATCCCTGATCAGTTGTAACATTAGACTTTATTTGATAAACATATATTTTAACTATAACATAAAGACTGTAAACATACTGTAGGCTGTTTAGTTTAGTAAATTTTTAAAATATATTTTAACACAGACG